CTATTTTAAAAATATTTTAGAATTAGGGGTATATGTGCAGGTTTATTATACAGGTAAATTTTGTGTCACAGGTGTTTAGTGTCCAGATTATTTCACCACCTAAGTAATAAGCATAGTACTAGATAGGCAGTTTTTTGATCCTCACACTCCTTCTTCTGTCTACCATCAAGGAGGCCCTGGTGTCTAGTGTTCCCTTCTTTTCATCCATGGGTACACAAAGGTGGGGAATATTTAGATCCTACTTATAAGTGAGAATATGTGATATTTATTAAATAGATTTCTGTTCCTGAATTAGTTCACTTAGGGTAATGGCCTCCAGCTCCATCCATGTTGCTGCAAAGGACGTGATCTCTTTTTTTTTTTTTTTTTTTTTCTAAATGGCTATATAGTATTGCATGGTGTATATGTACCACATTTTCTTTATCCACTCTACCCTTGATGGGCATTTAGATTGATTCCATGTCTTTGCTATTGTGAATAGTCCTGCAGTGAACATACACGTGCATGTGTCTTTATGTTAGAGTGATTTCTGTTCTTTTAGGTATATACCCAATAGTGAGATTGCTGGGTCAAGTGCTAATTCTGTTTGAGTTCTTTGAGTAATTGCCAAACTGCTTTCCACAATGGCTGCAATAATTTGCATTCCCACTAACAGTGTATAAGCACTCCCTTTTCTCCACAACCTCACCAGCATCTGTCATGTTTTGACTTTTTAGTGATAGCCATTTGGCTGGTGTGAGATGGCATCTCATTGTGGTTTTGACTTGCATTTCTCTAATGATCAGTGATGTTGAACTTTTTTTTATGATTGATTGCCAGATTGAAATGTGTCTGTTCATGTCTTTTGCCCACTTTTTTTTTTGGTAAATTTGTTTAAGTTCTTTATAGGTGCTGGATATTACACCTTTGTCAGATGCATTATTTGCAAATATTTTCTTCCATTCTGTAGGTTGTCTGTTTATTCTTTTGATAGCTTCTCTTGCTGTGCAGAAGCTCTTCAGCTTAATTAGGTCTTATTTGTCAGTTGTTGTTGTTGTTGCAATGGCATTTGGCATCTTTGTCATGTAAACTTTGCCAAGTCTTATGTCCAGAATGATGTTTCCTAGGTTATCATTCAGGGTTTTTATAGGTCTGGGTTTTACATTTAAGTCTTTAATCCGTATTGAGATGATTTTTGTATATGGTATAAGGGAGGGGTTCAGTTTCCATCTCTGCATATGGCTAGTCAGTTATTCCAGCACCATGTATTGAAACAGGGAGTCCTCTTTCCATTACTTGTTTTTATCGACTTGGTTGAAGATCAGGTGGTTGTAGGTGTGTGGCACTATTTCTGGGCTATTTTGTTTTATTTGTCTATTTGTCCGTTTTTGTACTAGTATCATATTGTTTTGGTTACTATAGCCTTGTAGTATAGTTTTGAGTATTGTGATGCCTCCAGCTTTTTTAAAAAGTTATAATTGCCTTGGCTATTTGGGCTTTTTTTTTGGCTCATGTGATTTTTAAAACAGTTTGTTCTAATTCTGTGAAGAATATCATTGGTAGTTTGATAGGAATAGCATTGAGTGTGTAAATTGCTTTGGGAGGTATGGCCATTTTGGTGATATTGATTCTTCCTATCCTTGAGCATGGAATGTTTTCCTGTTTGTTTGTGTTATCTCTAATTTCTTTGAGCAGTGCTTTGTAATTGTCATTATAGGGATCTTTTACCTCCCTGGTTAGCTGTATTCCTGGGTATTTTATTTTGTTTGTGGCTATTGTGAATAGGTTTGTGGTTTTTTTTATTTTGTTCTCAACTTGGATGTTATGTTGTTGGTGTATTGGAATGCTACTGATTTTTGTACATTTATTTTGTATCCTGAAACTTTGCTGAAGTTGTTTATCAGAAAAAGGTGATTTTGGGCAGAGATTCTCGGGTTTTTTATGTGTAGAATCTTATTGTCTGCAAACAGAGATAGTTTGATTTCCTCTCTTCCTATTTGGGTGCCTTTTATTTCTTTCTCTTGACTGATTGCTCTGGCTACAACTTCTAGTACTACATTGAATAGAAGTGGTGAGAGTGAGCATCTTTGTCTTGTTCTGATTTTTAAGGGGAATGCTTCCAGATTTTACCCATTCAGTATGATGTTGGCTATGGGTTTATCATAGATGACTCTTATTATTTTGAAGCATGTTCCTTCAGTGCTTAGTTTGTTGAGGGTTTTTAACAAGAAAGGATGTTGAATTTTGTCAAAAGCCTTTTCTACATCTGTTGAGATGATCATGTAGTTTTTGTCTTTAGTTCCATTTATCTGATGTATCACATTTATTGATTCATGTATGTTGAACCTCCTTGAATCCAAGTAGGGATAAAGCCTACTTGACCATGGTGGATTAGCTTTTTGATGTGTTGCTGGATTTGATTTGCTAGTATTTTGTTGAGGATTTTTGCATTTATGTTCTTGAAGGATTTGTGTGTGTGTGTATGTGTGTGTGTGTGTGTGTGTGTGTGTGTGTGTCTGCCAGGTTTTGGTATCAGGATGATGCTGGCCTCACCAAATGAGTTAGGGATGAGCCTCTCCTCCTCAGGGTTTTCTTTTCTTTTCTTGAATAGTTTCAGTAGGAATCGTACCAGCTCTTCTTTATACATCTGCTAGAATTTGACTGTGAATTTGTCTAGTCCTGGGCTTTTTCTGGTTGGGCTTTTTTATTACTGATTGTGTTTTGGAACTCATTATTGGACTATTCAAGGATTTAATTTCTTCCTGGTTCAATCCTGGGAGGAGGTATGTTTCCAGGAATTTCTCAATTTTTTCCTGTTTTTCTAGCTTGTATGCAGAGAGGTATTCACAGTAGTCTTTAAGGGTGTTTTATATTTCTGTGGAGTAAGAAGTGTCACTTCTGATTGTGTTTATTTGGATCTTCTCCGTGTTTTTCTTTATTAGTCTAGCTAACAGTCTATCTTATTAGTTATTAAAAAAAGCAACTCCTGGATTTGTTGATCTTCTGAGTGTTTTTCACTGTCTCAATTTTCTTTAGTTCAACTCTGATTTTGGTTATTTATTGTCTTCTGCTAGCTTTGGGGTTTATTTGCTCCTGTTTCTCTGGTTCCTCTAGTTGTGATATTAGATCATTAATTTGAGATCATTCTAACTTTTTGATGTGGACATTTGGTGCTATAAACTCCTTGTAACAACATTTTAACTGTGTCCCAGAGATTCTAGTATGTCATGTCTTTGTTCTCATTAGTTCCAAATAATTTATTAATTTTCACCTTAATTTCATTATTTCCCCCAAAGTCATTCATGAGCATTTTGTTTATTTTCCATGTAATTGTACAGTTTTGAGTGATTTACTGAGTACTGATTTTTATTTTTATTTAGTTGTGGTCCAGCTGTGTGGTTGGTATGATTTTGCTTTTTTGAATTTGCTGAGGATTGTTTTGTGTCTGATTGTGTGGTCGATTTTAGGGTATGTGCCATGTGCAGATGAGAAGAATGTACATTCTGCTGTTTTGGAGTAGAGACTTCTATAGAAGTCTATTAGGTTCATTTGGTCAAGTGTTGGGTTCAGGTCCTAAATATCTTTGTTAGTTTTCTGTCTTGATTATCTGTCTAATACTGTCAGTGGGGTGTTAAAGTCTCTCACTATCATTGTGTGATTATCAATTACCTTTGTAGGTCTCTAAGAATTTGCTTTATGAATCTGGGTGCTCTTGTGTTAGGTGCCTATATATTTATGATAATTCATTCTTATAGAATTGAACCCTTTACCATTATGTAATGCTGTTCTTTGTCTTTTTTGATCTGTGTTGGTTTAAAGTCTATTTTGTCTGAAATAGATTGCTTTTTTCTGTTTTCTGTCTTTTTTCCATTTTCTGTCTTTTCTGTTTTCTGTCTGCTTGGTAGATTTTTTTTGTATCATCGCATGTGACCTGGGTCTCTTGAAGACAGCATACCATTTGATCCTGTGTCATTATCCAACTTGCCACTCTGTGCCTTTGAAATGGGGCATTTAACCCATTTACATTCAAAGTTAGCATTAATATGTGTGAATTTGATCCTGTCACTGTGTTGTTAGCTCATTATTGTGCAGATTTGTTTGTGTGATTGCTTTATAGTATCACTGGTCTGTGTATTTAGGCATGTTTTTGTAGTGGCCAGTAATGGTCTTTCCTTTCCATATTTAGTACTCTCTTCAGGACCTCTTATAAGGCAGGTCTGGTGGTAATGAATTCTCTTAGTATTTGCTTGTCTGAAAAGGATCTTATTTTTCCTTTGCTTTGAAGTGTAGTTTGGCTACATATAAAATTCTTGGTTTGAAATTCTTTTCTTTAAGAATGCTGAATATAGGCCCCTGATCTCTTCTCTCTTATAGGGTTTCTGCTCTAAGGTTAGCTGTTAGCCCGATGGGTGATGTAGGTGACCTGCCCCTTCTTTCTAGCTTCCTTAAACTTTCTTTCTTTCTTTTCTTCCTTGGAGAATCTGACGACTGTGTGTCTTGGTGATGATCTTCTTGTGTAATATTTCACAGGGTTTCTCTTCATCTCCTGAACTTGAATGTTGTCCTCTCTACCAAGGTTGGGGAAATTTTCATGGATGGTATCCTGAAATGTATTTTCCAAGTTGCTTGCTTTCTCTTTTTCTCTTTGAGGAATGCTGATAAGTCATAGACTTGGTCTCTTTAAATAATCCCATATTTCTCAGACATTCTGTTCATTCTTCTTCATTATTTTTTCTTCATACTTGTCTGAGTTATTTTGGAGGACTGGTCTTCATGCTCTGAGATTCTTACTTCAGCTGGTCAGTTCTGCTGTTAATAACTTGCAGTTGTATTCTGAAATTCTTGAGTTTTTCAGCTCTAGCATCTCAGTTTAGTTATTTCTTAAAATGGTCATTTCATCTTTCATCTGCTGTATCATTTTATTGTATTCTTTAGAATTTTTGGATTGGGTTTTAACATTCTTCTGAATCTCGATGATCTTCATTCCTGTCCATATTCTGATTCTATTTCTGTCATTTCAGCTATTTCAGACTGGTTAAGAACCATTGCTGGGGAACTAGTGCAGTCATTTGGAGGTAAGAAGACTCTCTGGCTTTTTGAGTTGCCAGAGTTCTTGCGCTGGTTCTTTTTCATCTTTGGGGGCTGATTTTCCTTCAGTCTTTGAAGTTGCTATCTTTTAGATATTTTTGGTTTTTGTTTGCTTTATTTTCTTTGGTGTTGTTAGGTGTTTGATTATGGTATAAGGTGGGTTTGGTCAACTGGCTTCATTTCTGGAATATTTTAGGGGGCCAGTGCTCAGTTCAACACTCCTGAGCTGTGTGCTTTAACTCTGGGGGGCTCATTTTGGGCCCCCTGCTTTCTTCTCTGGCTCCTCAGGGTTAGGAACCTGTTGCCCTGATGGGCGGTGACAGCCAAAGAGCTTCACTGGGTGGTGGAAATGAAATCTGTGCTCATTTGTACATGCCAGAAATAGCAGCGGTGTGATGTGCATGCTCATCAGCTGGAGTGGGGCACTGGTGGGCCAGGGGTTTCCAGCCTCCATACAGGCATTTGTATGTGGCAGTAATAGTGGGTGCGGTGGGGCACTGGCAGGTGTGGGGCTGATGGTCTCCATGTGTGCATTCACACTGGAGGCAATGGCAGCATAAGGCAGGGAGTGGGGCTGCTGATCTTCATTTGTGTACTTGTGCTAACAGTGGTGGTACAGCTGGGTGAATGGGAGCAGGTTGTGCTCATGCTGGCAGCAGTGGCACAGTGGGTTGTAGATACGTCCTGGCAGGGAAGGGTAGGCAAGGTCTTCTGGCACATACACACTGGCAAAATGATATGGGGGTGGCCTTGGATGAGTACATGCCAGCAAAGTGTTACAGAGGATGCTGCAGTGGTGGGAGGGTACAGGTGGGCTGACATGCCTTGGCAGGGGCCACTGTGCTGGAGCTATTTGATTGTCAGGCACAGTCTGCCATCACAGGAGCTATTATGCATGTCCCTGGGAGACACCCCAGTTGAGCATTTGCGGCTGCACTGCAAGCAGGAGAGGCCAGCACACAGGGGTCACTCAGGTCAGACTGGCCCAGATCTCTTCAGGTCTGACAGCTCCCCTAAGGCTAAAGTTTCCTAGGGGAGCATGGGACGCCTTGGGGGATGAGCATCCCTGGTCATGCTTCACTGCAGACATTGCTGCCCCAAACCCTTTGGGCTCCAGCCAGCTGGAGCCCTGCCCCTACCACCTCTCTAAGTAACTGTCCTTTCCAGCTTACGTTTCTGTGGGGGTCGTGTGGTCTCCTGCTGCCAGGATTCTACAAGTCCATGGTGAGAGTAGGCCATTCCTTGCCTGCTCAACTCACCACTACCCCAGGGGCAACTGAGGGCCAGGAACTGATGTATGGTAGCCCCATGCGGGGCTGCCAGCTTTCTCCCGCTTAAGCCCAACATCTGTGTCCTCCCTCTAGCCATTCTCAATGCTTTCCTTCTGAAGATCTGCTTAGAGTCTTCCTGATGTCCTGGTCCCTCAATGGCAGATGTTCCTTCTGGCTGTGTCTATCCAGCTATCTTGCCTGGAGAATCCCGTGTATTTTGATCTTTGGCTTCTGCATTAGAAAGATTTCTCAATTTTCTGATCACTTTTGCCTTTCACTTCATTATTAAAAGTGGGAAATATAAAAGCTGCCTGGAAGTTCTGAGCTCATGCATAAAGCTTACTGACTTCAAGCTTCAATGTGAGGAAACTGGGTGAACTGTGTCTTGGGAATGATGAATCAGTGCTGTCTTTAGACCTATGGGAGAGGTGCTTCAGCTTTAGATGTCCTGGATATGTACCATTTCTGGCTTTGCCCTGCTTCATGGGATGATGTGTCTAAAGTGCAAAGGAAAAGGGCTTGTCTAAGGATTTCTCTACCCTTTTCTAGACTATGCTTTGGATTCTTAGAATTCCTGCCCCAACAGCTCCAGACCTGCTTCTAGGATCTGCATAGGCCTCTTCTTCTGGTCTAGTCTCCCAGGAGTCATGTGGAGTGGGCGGGCATAGGACTAAGGAAGGCCTTCCTTTGGGGCAGCAGTTTGCATGGGCTTTGGAGAAAGCTTGGGGATATGGTCTGTAATGTCTGTATACATACGCACAAGGACTTTCGTGTTTTGAACAGATCCACGGAGTGGAAAGAGAAGGAGGTCTGACTGTGGACCACAAGAACTATGTTTTGTTCTAATACTCCTTGGAGTACAAGAATTATGAGTTTCAGCATCTCATTTAGGTAACTACAAAGGAATATTTATCAGGATAGGAAGATAGAACATATTTCACTTAACAGTTTTGGGAATTCACATTAAACTTATAAATATACAGAAATAGGGAATGCAGGTCTTTATGTTCTTGCCTTGAGCCTTATAAATGTTGGGAGTGGGCCTGTTCTCATGTTAATGTATTTCCTCATGGTTTTGTCAGATTCCATTGAGATGAGTTTTCAATGTTTTTCTAAGAAAGTAAGGTTCTGGCTGCCAGCTTTTAGGGAATTCAGTGTGGGAAGAAAGCTGGGGATCACTGCAGTCTTCAGATGATCAATTAATCTTCATTTTCTGTAAGGTAACTGCACCTGCCCACAATGGGTGGTGGATATCTGTTGATCTAACATCCGTTGCTTCTATCTTAACCACCTCCTTTAACCTCAGCTCCTGAGGCACGCGGTACTGCCAGTTTGCAAGCCTTTTGAGGGTTTTGCAGTACAAACTGTTTTGGTTCATGTCTATCCCCACCAGTGGTTTAGGATTTGACTCTAAGGGCTCTGAGTCAGTTACCAATTTTTCATCTACTTCATCTGTTGTTTTCTCCTTATTTTTGTTCATTCTTTAAAAAATCTATTTACTGTAGGTTAGTAGTATTTCTGGTGAGAGATTAATATGTGTGTTAAATCTGCCATCTTATTCTAGAACCCAGCTTGTTCCTTTCACTTAGAACTTGTGAATTCCATTTAATCCCTGTAATAAAAGTTCCATTATGAAGGTTGAGTATTGACTCATGCTTACTGGACCTTAACAAAGTCTCTGCTACCAAAATAAGATGAATTGTTGAGCTCAGGGATAGTTACACTAGAGCTCAGGTGATAAGTGCTCTCACTACTCCTAAGTAAAATAGAGGAAATGTCAAGGAAGCTTGGCCATTGGTTAACAATAGTGTAGAAGGAAGGTGGTAATTTTTGAAAAGTTTCTGCTTTCTTTTCGCCATGTAAAGGCCCAAATGGAAGTGTCAGGTTACAATATTTTTCTACTCTAGTTGTTTTTTTACATGGCAGAAAGAGTAGAAGTTAGTTTTAAGAAAACTGGAATATAACTTATTAAACTACTGCTAGCTAATGCTTGTAGTACTATGCTAAATTAAAAGAAAGATGATTGGGTATGTCTATTTTCTGGCTAAAGATGCTCAAAAGATAGTGAAAAGAGTAAGGGAGAATAAAAATTGATGTTTTGATAATTTGTTTTTGAATATAGTGTTGTATTGAATCTTCACAAAATGCTATATGACATCTTTTCTAAACACCATAGTCTTTAAATCAAGGCTCAGAAGAATTGACTAAGTAGCTAACTTGAGTAATTTGCAAGACCAAAGCAGTACTGGGATTTGAACCCAGCAGTGGATGACGGCAAATCCTTTCTGCTGCATATTGCTACCTTCTTGGAATAAATTTGACAGTTGTTGGTAATCATGCTATAAAATTGTGGTAGAGAATGTCTTTTTTTTCTTTCTTTTTCCCTCACAATTAACAGCTAAGTATTGCTCAATCAAAAGCAGTTACTCTTACTTTGCTCCTCGAAGAACAGGCAAAGTTGTAGATTTTATACCCATATTAGAGATGAATGACACGTCTTTGAAAACTTCTTGTTAGCTATTCCTCTTGATTCCATATCTTGAATATACAATTTCTAATTGTAGTTTAAAATGTCTGCTACCAAATACATTGAATTTATACTTGGACCAGACTAACTCCAAACACTGCTAATAGAAGGAAACCAGAGGTGTTGACAGGATTCCTGCATATCTATAAAATATATCTCCTAACTTAAGTAAATGGATAAACATTGATTAAAATCTATTTTCTACTTTTGCACATTTGATATTAAGAGGAAATATCATTAAGCAAGATTCCAATGTGGATGCTCATGTTAATTATAGCTATATTCCATTTCCAGATTTATTATCTAGGTCAAAATTCCAACTTTTCCTCATCATTCTTCAAATATTAGAAATTCTATTCTGCTCTTATCTTGGTGGATCAACTTATTTCAGTCTTTACAGTAAGTCTAGCTGAAGATGATGAATCACTATTTTTAAGAGATGTCCTTATTGAATTTCTCTTCCTTTTGCTACAAAGAGGCATGAGCGCCATGCTGAAAACTTTTTGATGCTGCTTTTTATCTTTTAAAAGAAGGATAAATATTCTTTTAGAATGATTATTACTCTCCCAAAGATATGATGCTTACAAAAGTGCTCCTTATCCTCTGCTGACTGCCTCTTGCTTACCTTGCTTCTTGTCTACCCTGGAAAGGTGACTTGCACCTGAAAGACAGACTTTCTCTTTTGCATACAAACAGTCATTAAGCCCATCTTCCTCCTCCTTTTTATACTCATTTATTGAATATCTGCCATTTCTTTACTAGGCATTGGGGAAGTGAAGGTAAACAATCCACACTCACTCACAGGCTTCCATAGTTCCACAAAATCTTGGATGCCTTAAAGATTTATGTATGCAGGATTTTAGAAACATAAAGGAATGGGGTAGTGGGTTTGATTAGGTCTCCCTAGCAGAAACCAATCTAGGAGGTAACATTGAGATACAAACACTATTTTTTTTTCTTTAGACCACCTTTGCTCCTCCAGCTAAAACATCAAATGAGGCTTCATGTTCTTCAGAGAGCCTAAAATCTACCCCTCCGCCTAGGCAAGAATTAGCCCCTCTTTCCTATAGTTTTCAAATGACTAAGTTCATGCATTTAATTTGGTCTGTGTTATACTTATTATTTTTTTTGTTTATATATATGCCTTCTCTACTACTTGGAGATTCTTCAAGGTTTTTTATGCATTTTAAATGTATCTTCTTCTGTGTATTATGAATTTTTAAGGTTCTAGTACTTTGTATTTTCAGACACATTTATTGATGATGGCTTTAAAAATACACTCAATGAGTGAATGATTGTAAAAAATTATTAGAGAACACCACTGCCTTATCATTTGCTTGCTACTTTCCAGTTGGTTAATTCAAAATTTTGAAAGTTTTATGTTAAATCATGGATTTAATAGTGTAATTGTACTTTTAAAACAAGAAATTTGTAGATACTTTTTTTTTTTTTTAAGTTTTGGAAAGAAGACTGTTTTTCAGTATTTCAGGACTCTTGTGATTATATCTGAAGTAGGTTCTATACACTAAAGCCACTGTGTGTGTTTGACACTACCTAAGTAGGATATTTTATAAGGTGCGTAACTTAGTCATGTCTTATTGTTTTCTGAGATCCTGCTGTTACCACACTTACACTGGCCATCCTTAACATTAGTTGGATTTGCCTCTTCTAGAAGTTGTTTTTTGTTCTTTTCTTTCTAACATTTTATGCCTTTAGTTCTAGTGTTGGCCACCAGGTAGCAACAGTGCCTTGAGTAGCTCAAGTCTCATAAATAGGAAGCTGTTGTAGACAGACAAAAAGATGAAGTTCTCTGCATTCAGGAAGGGAAGGATTAAGTGTTCAGAATCCTCAATTTTTAATTCCTCTCTGGCACTACGTCCTCATGTTGTCTATTACAAATGCAAGCATAAATTTATGCATAAGCATAAAAAATGCAAGTACAATTATCAACTGGCCATGAGCAGCCTCCCTGTTCTGCCAGTCCATCGTTACCGTGACAATTCACTTCATCTCAGGGCCACTGAAATACAATGAGATGAAGGACAGTTGGCAAGGGGCAACATGGATCATGCTAGGGAAGTGTGTGACAACTGCAAACAAGAAGAGACTGAAATAATAAAAAAGGTATAAGGAGAAAGTACTTCTTTCTTTTTATGGACATTATCTAAACCCATAATATTTATGAGATTGTTTTTTAACCATGAAAAACACATTTATGCTGATATAGAAAAATCAAATATGTTATTTTAGATTTTTCTTCTTCCTTCACCCTTAGCAATACCTCTGGGTATTCTAGTTGTGCGTGGAGACTGTGATTTGGAGACTTGCCGTATGTACATAGACCGCCTACAGGAGGTGAGTTTATTTAGCCCATTTCTTATTCTCAACTTTCCATTTTTGTAAACAATTACCAGCCATACGTATTTGCTTCTGAAATGATGCATTTGGAGAGGAAATGGAAATGTGGTGGCTTTGTCCTTCAAGCATACGCTGTAAGTCACCCTCTCCCACTGTCTCTGTTGTTCACTCCTCAGATAGTTGAAATGGGAAAGCATTGACTGGTTTAACTACAGGGTGCTGTTGCCCTGGTGTGTTCTGTAACTATAGCTTGGAACTTGTCATTTTACCAGACACATACCTGTATATTTGAGATGTTCAGAATTTCAACAGGGACTGCTAAATTATGAAAGAAAACAGTGATATGTAATGTTTTGTGTCTGACGCTTATGTCAGAGACAGCTAGATTTTGTAAACAAAAAAATAAATAAAACTTCTGTAGGAAACAAAAATCCTCTACATTTCATAGTAATTTGTCAGAACACAAAGAATAATCTATTTTTTTTCTCAATCTGGTCTTGCTTTAGAGAAACAGAGTGGAAGTGACCCCAATATATGGCACTCCCAAATGTGAACTGCACCAGCAAAGCCAGGAGACCCAAACTCATCCTTACAATTGTTGTTGGTTGTTTCTGCAAAAATTTGAGGGGGAGTTTTAACTGTCTCCATTCCACAAATTGCAAAAAGCATAAATGACGATTTCTTTATCATTGTTTTTTGATGAAAGATGTATATTAGAGCCACTTTTCTTGGTGTGGCCTAGACATTTGTATTTTTACAGCTGTTGGGTGGTACCCAGCTGATACCCCTTGATAAGCAACTCTGTCCCAGTCAACATGTTATACATAGGTAAAGATTGTAAATAAAGTCAATACATACTGTTTAAAATCACTCTGAATTGTAACCTCTTATCCCTGAATATTTGATTCTGTTTCTCTTGGTGGAAATAAATTCAGGTGGGAGGCACATAGTGATGTGAGAAATTACTGATTTTGAGAAATAGATGACAAATCTTGAATACTGATATGGATGAGAGAAAGATGGTCAACGAATTTTATACTTACGGCTTTGTTAAGCTATTTTGACTGAGGATAGCGACTTAAACAAGTTAAAATATATGAATTTTTAGTGACTCAGGTCCAATTCTATTAATATGTTCCCAAACTTCTAGTATCTCATTTCCCAAAATAATGTTTGTATTTTGCTGTGGAATCTCACTCCAGAAACCTGTAATGAAAAAAATGAATCATAATTGGTACCAAACCTTTTTACCTTTTTTTTTTAAATTAACACTTGTAGAGCTTTGTTAACAAGACTTCACAGTAGAATAATATTAATACATGATTGATGAATTGACTTTGTTAAAATCCAACTTAACTAACTGAATAGCATGTTTATTGTACCAATATTCAACTAAAAGTAGGATTTTTTAAAAAGAGGCAACTCAACATATAAAGAGGAAAAGTTCTTAAAACAAATGGAAAGTACTTTGATGAAACGCTGTGGGAAATAGGTGTAAGGACAAAGGTACCCAGGATTGCTGACATCTATAAATAGAATCATGACACTCATTAGCAAGGAAGCCTAGGAGGCATGACAATGGTGACAAGTTCGTTATAAAACTTTATGAAAGGAGTCAGGCTTTCACAATCTGCCAGTAAAACCTCATTAATTTCAACCCTGTTAATTTGCACTTCGTGATAATGTGGAGGTGGTTGGTGATTTTTCTCTTTGTAGTCTATGAAAACCCCTATTTGCTAAGCGACTTATCAGTATAAACAGTTACCATGACAGTATGTATCTGGTCTAAGGTAAAGAAAAGCTTCCTAATTGTTTAAGGGGATTTCCAAAGCCGCCTTCATAAGCCTAAAGTTCACATGCAAATTAAATATAATCCCCATTTACTAGAACAAAATTGCCTATCTTTTACTTCTGGTCTCCTCTATAGGAGATTGAAATAATAATATATCACTTACCTGTAAACACTATGTAGGACTTACGGGTTTCAATAGCTTAATGACCTTCTCTCAGTCCAACTTGGTTTGCTTTTATGATTTCTGGCATTACCTTCTTTATTTAACCTTTATGAATTTGGGTGTGTTGGATACTTTCCAGATGAGCATAATAATAGTAAATTGGGAGTTCAGTCGAGATCGAGTTGTGGGGCAGCTTCTTCAAACTAATTTTAAGGTATGGATTTTTTTTTTCCATTTTCTCATTAGGACCTACAGTCAGTTTCTTCTGGCTCCCAGAGAGTTCATTACCAGGTAACAAATAATTGACTCTCCTTGTTTCTTACCTTCTGGCCAAATGAAGTCCATCTTTCAATTAATGTCTCATTTTGATTTAGAGTTCACATCTTCCCAAGGGATACAGTTCATTCTAAAAACCTAGTGAAAATGGTATTCTGATTCTTTTGTGTTTTCCTGATTTTGGACCACCCTCGTCTAGCACAAATTTGGACTGTGGATTTTCTCCTAGATCAGTTAGAAAAGGTTATAACATTGAGTGCTTTCGGTAACAAATACCAGAAAACTCAGCTGAAACTAGCTTCAGGGAGAGGGTCTCTTGGTTCACATAAGCAAAAAGTCCAGATCAAAGTGGATTTCTCATCCCATTTGGTCATGGCTCACTCTCCACTTTCCTGCTGGTCCTTCTGTTTTGTTCTCCTCTTCCTGTCAATTTTACTTCTGGCTTAGATGACCTTGGTCCAAGATGACTGCCTTTAGCCACTAGGACTATGTTTTTTCCGTCACCTCCAGAAAAAGAGAATTCCCTGCTTCCTACAACCATCAAGCAACAGTTTTAAAATGTAATCTGAGTGGTTCATCCTGGTCTTTTGGACAATCTAATAAACTCAGTCTGCCTCTCTCTATGGCCCATATAAAGTCCGTAGGAGAGCACTCTTATTCTTTGTCCCAGCAGACTTTGGGGATGCAGTTTCTTTCCAACTTCCTCATCCCGCTTGTGATGCAGAGATCTCTTCAGCCATCTTCTTACCCATTAGATTTCTCAGACATGATGTAGATCCTAGCACACCGTATTACTCCAGACTGCACGGAGCCCAAACAAAGCTCTTCAACTGGTCTCATTAAAGCCCTTTTATCTGAGAGTCTCCTTACCCTGCCCTGTTAAGAGGAAAGCTATGTGGGAATCACAGCATGCCAACAATTCTCTCCAAATAAATCTCTTCAAACCCTTTATACTTCCATGTGGGGAGGAATGTAACTCTGCCTAAATTTATAAATGTGTAAATCCTGGTTTAGCACTTCACTTTGGATTTTTGTGTCTATTTTCCTATGCCTGAAATTTCCAATTTAACATCCTTTAGCATAAATAGAAAACACAACAATTTAAAGAAAACCTATACCTTGTAGCCTTCTAGGTAGCTTTCTTCCCCTACCAATCATACTCTGCCCTTGGCTGAAGCAGCTTATCTTCAGGCTTAATGGCAGGAATGGTCTTTGTGTTCTTACTTGTATGTTTATTTCTCAAACATCATATCCCACACTTCCAGAGTTCTTTCTTCCCTCTGTCTGGCCTTGAAAGGAAGAGAAGTCACTTAGGATATGTTTACATTAAGAAAAAAAACAAAAACAAAAACAAAATGAACTTCTTCTAGACTGTTTTTACCAACCACTAGAAGACAAATTTCCACCTAATTTTTTAGATAGAGCACAGCTTTCATCAGAGTGACTATTTGCATATTTACCCAGAGCCACTGTCTAGGTATAAATTTTATTTTAAAAAGTATAGTGCTTTCACAATAACAAAGACATGGAATCAACACAAATGCCCATGAATGATAGACTAGATAAAGAAAATGTTGTACATATATACCATGGAATACTATGCAGCCATAAAAAGGAATGAGATAATGTCCTTTGCACTGACATGGATGGAGCTGGAAGCCATTATCCTCAGCAAACTTATGCAAGAACAGACAACCAAACACCACATCTTCTCACTTATAAGTGGTAGTTAAACAATGAGAACACATGGACACAGAGAGGGGAACAGCACACACTGGGGCCTATTGTGGGGGTGGGAGGAAGGAGAGCATTAGGAATAATAGCTCATACATGCTGGGCTTAATACCTAGGGTATGGGTTGATAGGTGCAGCAAACCACCATGGCACATGTTTACCTATGTAACAAATCTGCAAATCCTGCACATGTACCCAAGAACTTAAAGTAAAAATTAAAATAAAAAAAGCATAGTGCTTTTAAAGGTAAGAGCTGATCTCTAACAATTGGCAGTAGTAGTTATAATACTATGAGGATATGGTTTTTTTTCAGAGTTTATACTTTTTCCTCTTAGACATTTTGAACCTTTACAACTTTATCAAAATATGTTAGATTTATCCTGGCTAGGTTTATGAGAGTACATTTACTTATTATTCCTGGCTTATACAATGTAGTCACTTTGGTGTGAGAGTTTAAACTGTGGGCATTTTGTACCACATTTTTTTATTCCCTATCTGCAACTATTCATGGAGATCAATGGATGGATAAGACACTACAATATGACTGAGTTATTTATTTATTTATTTTTGAGACGGAGTCTCGCTCTGTCGCCCAGACTGGTGTGCAGTGGTGCAAACTCGGCTCACTGCAAGCTCCGCCTCCTGGGTTCATGCCAGTCTCCTGTCTCAGCCTCCCGAGTAACTGGGACTACAGGCGCCCACCACGATGCCCGGCTAATTTTTGTATTTTTAGTAAAGATGGGGTTTCACCATGTTAGCCAGGATTGTCTTGATCTCCTGACCTCGTGGTCTACGGAACTTGTGATCTGCCCACCTCGACCTCCCGAATTTCTGGGATTACAGGTATGAGCCACCACGCCTGGCTGACTGAGTTATTTATTACATGTATTGTTTGGTGATAACACTCAGAAGGATTAATGATATTTTTCTGACTATGTCAAAATATTGCTGCATTATTTTGTTTACTTCAGTCAAATCTTGGTGTCAAAACTGCTGCATTACAAATGTCATATCAAAAGGTTTTGTGCACTGAACATCCAGGATAACAAATACAGTGATCAGGGATGAGTGTCAGGAGTGTCACCTTTTCCCATATCCTTCCTTAGGACAATGAAGGAGTGAGCAGAGTGATAAAAAGCAGGGGCCTTTGAGCATGAAGGAATGGTTGGAACAAAAAAGATCCAAGAAGCCCAGAATTTGTTTATTAAACAGGAAAGAAAAAGAGACTGTGTTAGAATTAACGTGGCCAGAGCACAGGGAGAAGCTAATGAGGAATTTCCCGAGCAGGGCGAGGACAGCTGGTTGGAGCATGGAGCTGGGAGAGATAAACTTTCATGTTTGGCTAAGATTATCAAAGGAGGAATGAGTTGGAGGCATAGGAAATAGAGTTCTGGGTTAGCCATATTAGTTTTGATATGCCTATTAGATCCAAGAGGGTTGGTGAGTAGGCAGTTGGGTATATGAATATTAAACTTCATTAAAAAATTCAGGCCCAGAGATAGAAATTTTGGAATCATCAGCAAATGGATGGATGGTGCTTAAAACTACAAGGCCGGAGGAGATCACTTAGGGAGGCGTTCAGTTAGAGATGAGGGCCCAGTGTTCTATCTGTATTTATTCATGAGTCAAGAAGAGTGCAGATTCAAGAGAGCCATTGGTCAAGAAGAATCATGGAAACTGAGATGAACAGCAAGGATGCTGTAAATCAAGGAGAAGGTGATATCACGAAAGCCAAAAGTGAAATGTATTTCAGAGAGGAAGGAGTAATGGACAGTGTCAAATGCCATTGACAGGCTGAAAAGATATGGATTGATTTTTATATTTTTTCTAGGTGTGCATATTATAAAACACATGGGATATAGGTGCTATTAATTTTTATGTAGAAAGTGAGTGGCAGGAAATTTAATACTAAATCTTTCATTTCTTAGTGCAGAAACTGATTATATCAGAATCCCCTAGTTTGTTCTGGTGGGAATAAGGAGTGTTATAGGTGAAAAAGCTATAAGAAACGTGAACAACGAAATGTCTTAAATGTCTTTTAATGAAGCTTCTTGTCTATGAGATGGCATTAAATATGCTTGGAGAATTAACTGTGAAGAGAATAAATTAATACCAGTATTTCTGAAAACTTGAGAAATTCCTGTCAGCTCACTAATTTGCAGCTAAGATTTTAGCTTACTGTTTTCTAAGACCAGAAAAAACTCAGGAGAAAAGCAGCATTTAGAAAGGTGTACATGTGCCCAAGACACCTTATTAGTGAGCCATATGGCAGTTTCTCGCCACTTAAGCATTTCATTGCTTTGGTTTCTTCCTTTTCCAAATTCATAGTGAATTGCCAACAAAGCACTGAGGCTCAAAAATGACACTTCTTATTAACCTAATAAGGCATTATGGGTTATACAAGAATGTGTTAGATATTTATAGCCTGTTGAAAATTCTTGCCTACACCATCTCTGAGGTCAAAATACAAAGGCCCCTCCATCCTAATAGCATTGATGTTACCTGTAACTAGTACGTTTTACAAGCAAAATGCATTGCACTTGCAGATTTAGGATATTCTTGATGTTGCCAAATGAACAAGAATTAACATAAGAATTGGACTCTACCTGCTTATTTGATAAGGATGCTTTCTGAGGCCACCTACTTTGAGATAATTCCTTCTCTGCCTCCTCCCTCGAAATCATGATACCCCTTCTTAACGCCAAATCACAAAGGTACTAAGGAATAGAGGCAGATGTGCCATTCTAGTGATTTCCAGCTGGGAAGATTTTGCTCCCTGTGGGGGACATTTGGCAATGTCTGAAGACTTTGAAATCTATTTGATAAAGGCCATGGATGCTATTAAACATCTTATAATGCACAGATAAGCCTTCTACCACGAAGAATTATCCAGCCCCAAATGTCAATAGTGTAGAGCTTGAGGAACCCTGAGTTACTCTGGCGGTTTTCAGTACATAAATGACAACCCCAGATAGGTATAAGACCTAGACGAGGAAAGGGAAAGGAGAAAGAAAGAGGAGGAGCAAAAAAAAAAAAAAAAAAAAAAAAAAAAAAAAAAAGTAGGGATGGAGAACAGAAGGAGGCATTTATAGATGTAGTACGGTAGAATAAAGAGAGAACTAGGAGCAATTAGAGGGTTTTTTGTAGACACCCCGGGTTTCCCCATTTCCCAGGGTGATGCTTTATGGGGCATTAAATGGTAGGAATTATAACTTGAGATTTTAGTGAATACCATAGGATTCACCCGTAGGTGCAAAAATAGATTCAGCCAGGTGATTACC